GCCTAGTTGTTCAAGTATGTATCGGCCAGCCAGCCGTATTGGAGTTAAAGATGAGAAATTCTCAAAAAACAGAGGTGGCCTCCCTAATTCGCCACTGATAGGATTTAGTATACACAGCTTTAAATGCAGGCTTTAAAGATTTGAGCACTCAGAGCCTTCGATCGATGAATCTGCTGGTTTCAGTTTCTTAAAATCTGAAAATCCTCCTATCCCAAACATGAAAAAAAAATCACAAATGTCAGGAAGTTCTTATCAAAAAGGAAAAGAAATGAAATTCTCAGCCATCCCTTGTGTGAAGAATTTTGATTTCTCATGCAGCCATAAAAGCTAAGAAGAAAGAGCAAGTGATACAAATGTGAGGAAAGATCACTAGTATATCAGCAAGACATTAGCGGTGGACCTTACTATTATACATTTCCCATCAATACCTGTTCTTGTATTTCTTCTACATTTATTGTTCGTTGAAACATTCTATAGAAGGAACCCGGGCCTGCTTACTTTATGGAAGTTTTGTTCTTTCCTCTTCTACTGTGGCTGTTTGTCCTTCCCAGCTCTAAGGAAGGGTATTACAGTAGCAACAAATCTTCCTGTTTCCAAAGCATCTTGCTGCTGATTAATTAAATCGTGCAGTGGATAAGTGACAGCTTTTGTCCCGCTTTGCACTAAGTCAGGAAAAAGTTTGAAACACCCAAGTTCGCTGTGAGTTTCCAAACACGAATTGACTACATATCATTTGAGAGCAATATCACAAAACAGTTATTCTTCCCCGGAAGCATTTTTTTTCCTTAATACTGTATTGGTTCATGTATTGTCCTTTCACATACTCTGATGCCTTACTCAATAAGGCATTGGCTAGAAGTCGCAAGTAACCACATAATTTATTTTGGTGGTGATCTGTCCACATACTGAGCAACTCTGCTTTTTTATTCTTTATGGAGTATATGCTTAAGAGAAATAAAACCACCTCACTTTCCCTATTCATGTTGTTTTATGTCAACACTCTGTTCCATGAAGCACTCTGACTCCAAAAATATGCCATACTGAAACTTCATTTTTTATATATATTTATACATGTGTATTCCACTTGTCTAATGTTACCATGCCATTCAGAGTAGCTAAGAGCATTGTAATAATCTGGTGTGTGTGTGTGGAGGGGTTACCCTTAAAAAAATAAAATATAATCAATGAAAACTAAATTTAGAAACGGCATAATATAAATCAAAATGGCTAAATCAGCACAACGTTAATTACCAAAAGCCTTGTAAACTAGACAACAACAGTAATAACAACCGGGTATATTTCAAAGCAAGAAGAGGTTTGACATACCATATGGAGGAAAAAGTTCAATATTTTTGATGCCTCCATGGAAAACACCCCAGCACTAGAAAGAATTATCTTAAGACATGGGAAGGTAGGGGCCTGGGGGACGCCAACATGTGCCCTCCAGCTGCTTTTGACTTGAAATGTATGCTTGGTTGTGTATTCTTTTGTGTGTCTAGCATATGCCTGGTACCTCAATTGGCTATGATAACTTCCACATTTTTTTCTTGCATGTGCATTAACATCCGATAGGGTTTTGATATAGGTATTTTTAAATTTAACAGCACTGTAACTGATACGAAATCAAAGTGAGCTAGCCATCTTGCTTCTACAACCTTTTTAGCAGCTGCATTGTGCACCAGTTAAAGCTTCCAAAGTGTCTTCAAGGCAGCCCCAGGTGGACAGTGTTCTCTGGCTTCTCCTGCAGCTGAAGGTGATAAAAAGGCATGCCCAGGCATTAGCATCGATTCACACTTTATTTTCAACCATTTTATTCCATTTTTATCTTGTAGAATAACTCAAAGAGGGCTAAGAGCAAAAAGCATGGAAGCCATTGGAGATCTAAAGAGAAAATCAAAAACTTTGCACCGTTGCAAGAGTCCCACTGCAGGCAACTTTTAGATGACCCTAACCAGGAAGCCACCAATGGATTCCCACAGCCGGCTTTTTTAGAAAACATTCATCCTATTAAGCCCCATGAGATTTATTCATTTTTTATTAGGCTTTGTGCTGTCTTTTAAATCCCTCCATTCTCAGCAAGCACTCCTGGAATTTAGTTTATTGTGGCAATAACTCAAACTCACTGTATGCAATGACTTAAAATGCCCACTGAGCATGTTTGTTTTTCTGCTTAGATAGAAATAACCCATCAGGAGAGGCATCTTGAGGGAAACAGAATTGCTCCCGTATCACTTGCTATAGATTTTAGCTTAGAAGTTGTAGCTTCTTGTGGAGGTGTTAATCCAAGGGCGGCTTTTATTAAATGAGAGCGTCTGTATAAGTTTGTGTTGCAGAGGTCGGTTGTTGATGGAAGGTGGCATCTGAGCAAGAAATGTCGTATGGGATGCCGGATCCCTCCTTAGGCCTTATACCTGAATTCTACACTTGTGTCCTGTTGCACAGCTGGGGGTCAGCCCAGTCTTGGCAGTGACTGCCACTGTCCTTGACTTTAATCTTTCACCACATCAACTCCTTTAACAAGGACTCAGTTTCTGGTTTTTTTTTTCTGTGCTTAAAATGGCTGCCTTCTGGGAACATAGACAATCAAAGACATGGTATTATAATAAGTCCCATGTCTCTTCTGTAGCATTTTTTTAATGGTGGTGGTTCATGGAGATGATTAGTAATGACAAAATAAGGCTTAGAGATCTTTGTGCAAGAGCTTTGCTTGGAAGAAAGCATTTACAAATTACTAGTTACTTGTTTTGACTTTTTTTTCTAATAAGAAAGATATAACTAATATAAAGTGATGAAAATACACTTGCAATGTAACTTTAGCTCATAGTTATCTTTACAGTTGTAAGGTTCGTCCTTATCAGATGGCGGAGAAGGAATATCACATGGCAAGCAATGGTTCAGCTAGTGGCTTCCACAGCCAGCAAGAAAAAGAGGAGAGGTCCCTTGTTCTTGTAAGAGTTGCATAGGAGAGGGAATTTCTGAAGGTGGTGAAAATTCCTTCTTCCACACTCATATTAAAGGCACAGAAGTCATCTGCTCCTTATCATATGGCCACCTAGGCAACACCACAGTAGACATGAGAGTGTGTTGCATGTCACATACTAGTGGCTGTGTAAATTCAGTTGGATCTTTAAAGTAACTAAAAAGGGATTATTTAGTTATTTCTGAGACAGAGGAAAGTGAAGAGTTTGCATTCAACTGTATTTATCATACGGCCACGTAGGCAACACCACAGTAGACATGAGGAGAGTGTGTTGTATGTCACATACTAGTGGCTGTGTAAATTCAGTTGGATCTTTAAAGTAACTAAAAAGGGATTATTTAGTTATTTCTGAGACAGAGGAAAGTGAAGAGTTTGCATTCAACTGTAATAGTAACTACTTCTGTAGACTTTGGAACGATTACTGCAGCTAATTGTATTTTAACAATAACTTTCTGACATTTGAAATCAAATCTGTAAAGTGTTAGGGAGCAGGCTTGAACAGCCTTCCTTCCTCCCATTCAGATTACAATTTTTTAACGTTATATAGGCCAGACTAGTCTATTAATTTGCGTGTTTGCATACAATGTAGCTTTTTATGTTTTTTTCTTGTAAAATGAGCAGCTGTGGCAGGAAAAGTGAGAGATCAATTAGAGCAGTAGTAATCAACCTTTTTCGAGTCACGAGCCCCCCCCCTTTTTACACTAGCTAAATAATCTGTGACTCACCCACCCACAATTTTTGCATAAAAATGCATTTTTAATGGGGTAAACTCATCCCTTCTCAGAAAGTAGAGGTTTCTTTCTCCTCCAAATAGCCTGTTTCTCATACATACACATACAGTGGTGCCTCGCTTAACGAGCGCACCGTATAACGATTAAATCGCATAGCGATCCGTTTTTTCGGATCGCTAATGCGATCGCACAACGTTTTTCCTATAGGGAAAAATTCGCTTTGCGAAGACCGGTAAGCGTTTCGCTTACCGATCTTCGCAAAACGACCCCCACCGATCAGCTGTCTACAAATTTTGAACGGTACATAGGCCAGACTAGTCTATTAATTTTCGTGTTTGCATACAATGTAGCTTTTTCTGTTTTTTTCTTGTAAAATGAGCAGCTGCGGCAGGGAAAGTGAGAGATCAATTAGAGCAGTAGTAGCTAACCTTTTTCAAGTCACGAGCCCCCCCTTTTTACACTAGCTAAATAATCTGTGACTCACCCACCCACAATTTTTGCATAAAAATGCATTTTTAATGGGGTAAACTCACCCCTTCTCAGAAAGTAGAGGTTTCTTTCTCCTCCAAATAGCCTGTTTCTCATACATACACATATATGCTAATTTTAATATCCCACTCTGAAATGTTGAGGAAGGAATTATTTAACACGGGCTACAACACATATAAGGTGACCCCTGAACCCCCACCCCAGAAAACACTTTGTGACCCCAGGTTGAGAACATTGGGTTGGAAGATATTCCTTCGGAGGGGTTTAATCATTTCTTCTGTCCTATAATCCTGAAGATCCCTCTTTCTGCAAAAGATTACAAGACCTGCCCCAGCAAACGAGCTGCTTCTGGAATCTTTCCATTGCAGCAAGTTCATCTCATACTGTTTTTGATGATTCAAAGGGTTGCATGCGAGAGTGCGCAGAACTTGGAAAACTTACAGGTTCAGACTAAAACTCTCAGAATCCACCAGCCATATGTAGACTGTGGGATTCTGAATGTGCAGTCTTCAAAAGTAACTTATCCACACTCTGGCAATGGGCTATAAATCAGAGTTCTCCTGTATTGTAGCAAGCCAATTTGCTAGGGCCCACCTATTAAGTCTTCAGCCCTGGCGTTACCAAACCAACACATTGCTGCCCTCCCCTGTCTGAAATCACTCGTTCGTGGGAAGTCATCTAAAGTTCTGCATCTAAAGTAGCCCCAGTAATAATCTTAGGCATTTACACAGAAGAGCTTTGAATAATCCCTGAAGGCTTGTGGAGTATAGTCATAATAGCCCTTCTCTCTCACTCTTCAGCACCCTTATCCGACAGAGGATGAGAAGAGGCAGATAGCAGCTCAGACAAACCTCACGCTCTTGCAAGTCAACAACTGGTGAGTGAAATCTTGATCTTCCCCTCCTTACCCTTAACACTCAAGGTGGAAAAGACAGCCCCCTCCCCAAGAGGTGTTTGCTTAGTCTACGTTCTTATCCCTGTTCTTGCCTCAACATTCCACCTAGAAAAAATTTGTGAATGGAGAAGTTTCAAATGTGGACAGAATCCCTGGAGAGGTGAAGGCTACCAAATGTCTGTCGGACCCTTGCCCTTCCTGGCTTATAAAACCTGCCAGAGAGGGGCTGGCTGAGTGGGTAGGAGTGGTGGATGCCTCCTTGCAGCAGGGTCGGATCCCTGCATACTTAAAGGAGGCAGTAATAAGATCATTGCTGAAAAAGCCCTCCTTGGATCTCACAATACTGGATGATTACCGGCCAGTCTCTAATGTTCCCTTCTTGGGCAAAGTGCTAGAGCGGGTAGTGGCTTCTCACCTCCAGGAGTTCCTTGACTCATTTCTGAGCCTGGATGTCCAGATTTTGGTGGTGGCCGGGGTTGCCTCTGGCAACAGTTAAAACTAGTGGAGAGGTCTGATCTGGCCACACTGATACACACCTTAGTTACATCTCACCTGGATTACTGTAACATGCTTTCTGTGGGGCTGCCTTTGAAAAGTGTTCAGAAACTTAAGTGGTTCTAAACTGCTGCAGCCAGCCAGGTGGTCAACTGGGGCTGGTTGCACAGCCCACTGTTTCAGCAGCTCCACTGGCAGCCAATCCATTTCTGGGCCCAATTCAAAATGCTCGTTTTTAACCTATAAACAGGTTGGGTCCCAGCTAGTTCAAGGGCCATGCCTCCCTTTATGAGCCCGCCTGGGTTTTAAGATCATCCAAAAGGCCTTTCTCTCGGTCCCACCAGCCTCACGAGCGCACTGGGGTAGACACGGGAGGAGGGCCTCCTCTGTGGCTGCTCTCAGACTCTGGAACTCCCTCCCACAGGAAGTTTTTGCTGCTCATCCACAGGCAGATGAAGACCCTTCTCTTCAGGCAAGCTTTCCCTTTAATGATTGGCTGCCTGAGAGGGGTTTTTTAAAAATGTATTGTTGTTCCATGTTGTTTTTAAATGTGTTTTTAGTATTGATTTTACTTACCATTTTAATATAATATTTGTTCCATTTTTAAAAATTGTACTTACTATTTTTAGCTTTGAAATACTGCCTTTTTAATGAATTTAGCTGCCTTGGGTCCTTTTTAAGGAGAAAGGTGGGGTAAAACAAAATAAAACAATAAATAAAAAGACATACATATTTTTGGAGAAGCCTGGAAATCCAAAAAATATTCCTTTGTTTTGCACCATAATGCAAATATAATTCATTTTATACTTTCAGATTAATATTGCAATCCAAAACTCAATAATGCAATTTATCCCTATAAAGTTACAGTTCTGCCATTTTTGCAATGGAGTTCCCAAGTCAAAACATGGGTACAAAAATGTATATATTATTGGAAAGTGCATGCAAAATGCATGTATTTATTAAAGTATTTTAAATTAATTGTATTAGGAGAATTCATTGACCACAAAAAGTGTGGTATTCAAGCTGCATGCAGAAGCAGTATACCAAGGAAAAATGTGCCAAAAATACACAATAGCTGTGAATGCCCAAAATCCGAACTTGGATTCCTGGTTGCAAACTAATTTTTTAGTATTATGTGATGCACAATGGCAATTAGTAAGTGCTAGAACAAGAAGCAGATCAAGGAATTTTGCTGCTTGAGGCTACTGACAAGCTGGCACCCCATTTTTTTCAACATATCAAGCAAAGAGTTTTCTCTTCAGACAGGCTATCTCGCAGTGATGACCTGTGTAAGAGTTGGGCTGTTGTTGTTCTTGTTTGCTTTGTTTTGATTTAATTGTTTGTTTTCTCCCTCCCCATCCAGGGTTTTGTACTGTTTGTTTTCAATGTTGTAAGCCACCTTGAGTCCTCTTGAGGAGAAAGGCAGGGAATAAATATTTCAAATAAATAATAATATCAGTGCTAACTAGGCTGGTAGCTGAATCATGCTTCCACGCTGGTGGTAGAATACCATCCTCTGTCCCAGTGAGAATGGCGGATGAACCTGCATGGCCAAAGGCAAGGTACATACAGTAGTGCCTCGCTTGACGGCGTTAATTCGTTCCAGCGAAATCGCTGTCTTACGAAAACGTCATCAAACGAAATAAAAAACCCATTGAAACACATTGAAAACCGTTCAATGCGTTCCAATGGGCTGAATACCTGCTCGTCCAGCGAAGATCCTCCATACGGAGGCCATTTTCGGTGCCTGTAAAGCGAGGAATCCATCCTAGAAAACAGCAGGGGGCCGTTTTCTTCAGCCGGTGGCCATTTTGAACCCCGATGATCAGCTGTTTGCTGATTGCCGTAAAGCAAAACTCGGTTCCCGAAGCAGAGGACCGATCATCGCACAGTGGAAAAAACCCATTTAAAACATTGTTTTGCGATCGCAAAAGCGATCGCAAAAACATTGACATAAAGCGGATTCGTCATAGAGCGGGGTAATCATCCAGTGGGGCACGACTGTACCTCTGATGTTTTGACACTCTTCTAGGCCCTCAGCATCTTCAACTTAGGTCAGTTGTTCTACTTTGCCTAATGGCAGAATCAGCCACATCACGTACATTTATTTATTTATTTATTTGTTTGTTTGTTTGTTTATTTATTTATTTTAAGAAGACCTGTGTCATGACACAGAGACCAGGAGTGACCTGGGCATGGAATCACTCATAGGCTGAGAATCTAGTGGTGCCTGCCAAGGAAACACCGGGCCTGAGCACCCCGAGAAGGCCAGAGGCGTTTGCCTGAGACCTTTGTGACCCAATACCTGGCTCAATGCTGGCAGCCCCCGGCTTTCGGCTCTGGGACAGGTGATTCTTCTTCAAGAGCTCTCTAATCCCTGGAGCTAGGGCACCCCATGCTATCAGCATTTCTTGAAGATGAAAAGAAGGATGAGGCTCCACAGCAAAGCCCTATCTTTTGAAGGCCATGGGAAGAGGTACCATTTAGGTGGGGTGCTCTTGACCAAGAAGTATGAAAGGCCCCAGATGAGCTTCCAGTCTTGTTTGAACCAGAGGTTTCCTTGATGGTCTCCCAGGTGCTGCGCTGTCTGCCCAACCTGGCGGCTTTAGCACCTGGCTGCCACACTGGGCCTTGCCATTTTTGCCCCCTGCTGCCCCATGGATTTCCGTTGCCAGTTGAGAGACAAGCCCATTCCCCTCCGCCTTTTCTAAGGCTAGACTGCAATTTCAAAATGTCTTTTGCAACCATTGGTTGAGTGGTGGGTCAATAGAAAAAATGATAAATATTGATCACGCTCAGCTTTCAATTAAAAGGAAGGCAGGCAGGCAGGCAGGTAGGTTAGAGTTCCAAGAACAGAAGATATTCTCTTGGGTAAAAATAATGTGATTTTGGCAGGGGGACTTTGGGAGAGATGGGGCAAATAAAGCCCTTTAAAGAGTCTTTCTGGTGATAACCAAGACATTCCCACTTTTTCATTTCTGTTAGAAAAAGAATTCCCACCCTCCCACTCATTAAAGGCAATGAAGGGCCGGGGGGGGACCTTCCGGCACCTTCCTGTCAGTCACCCTTTCTGGAATGCATTAGGAGTGAGTGGTGTCACTTCTCCTTGCTCCCGCCACACACTGAGAAATATAGTCGAGCACATTTGGTGTGCAGTTGTATTTGCAAACTCTCATTGGCCACAGTGCCTTGGCAAAAATTTTGCATTGTGCCCTTCCTGAGACATTCCAGAAAAGTGTAATTAGTGGTAAATGTAAGAGGTATCAAGCTTTTAAAAAAATATATCCTAAAAAAACAGGAAAATTGAAATTTTGATTTATCTGGCCATGGCAGTCCACACACACACACTAAAATTCAGTGAATTGGCCTCCATTTTCACAGAAGAAAAATATTCAGGGAAACCCTGGGTCAATTCATCTCCAGCTATTCTCCATAGATGATATACAGTATCTTTAAAGCTACTGATTGTATTACAGTTTTAGTTCTTGTGAGCTGCCTTCGGTCCCCTCTTGGGAGAAAAGTAGTACTATATGATTAATATAAATAAATAAATAAATAAACAAATTCAAGTAGTATGTAAAAGCCCTTGGGAATGCATAGTATGCAGTTCCTTTTTCCTCCTGCCCATCGTCAGGGTCTCGATAGATTCTAGATCTCACCACATGAGGGCATACTCAGAAAACAAATGCAATCATGCAGAAATAGAAAGAAAAAGTTGCATCACAGATACATAAATAAATCCCAAGCAGCAAGACGGGAAGGGGGAGGGGTTTTGATGGAGTTTAGAGCAGTAAAAAATTAGCCATGGCAACTTTGTTTGTGGTGCTTTCTACCAGATCAAAATGAAAAATGTCTCTCACATTTTACTTACACCGTAAGTGATGCAGAAATTTAAACAGTCAGTTTCATGGGAAAGTTATGGAATATTGGAAACAAAACGAAAGGGGAAAGAAGAAATGGTTCCCATCCTAAATGTGAAACTGAAATCGGCTCAAATAACTCTTTACTGCCAATTTATAATCAGTATGGGACATTATCAAAAAATAGTGTTTCCATCCCTGGTATCCATTTTGTCACTGACTTCTTCACCCCATCCATCAAATTTTGGAAATGGTTCTGTTTGGACCATGACTCTTAGCGTCCTCCAGCCAACATGCCCAGGACTGAACAGAGGATTCTGGAAACTGTGGTTCAAAAAAGTAACTTTTCCAAACTTTGCATCCAGTGTAAGATTTGATACATCTTTTTAAAGCTAGCACACATTAATTTCATCAGCATTTTGTGTGGGTTTTTTTGTTTGTATTTTGTTTTTAGAATTTAACTACTACCACCACCACCCCAAAATAATAAATTAGCAGTAACCAGCAAATATTGTAAAATGCATAGATACTTTGATTTATCCGGTAAACCCTTGTATATGTATACTTTTTAAATGTCATGAATTATATATAAGTAAAATACAGAATACCTCTCGAAAGCCGCCTCTTTAACCATTGGTTAAGAATTTTTGATGTGCTGAAATGTTTACAAGCATAGAAACTGGTACTGTTGTTTTCTGCAAAAGGCAGAGGATTGTTTATTTTGGAATTCTAGTATAAATCCTAGGATTTATAGAGGGGATATTTTGGAATTCTGGCCAGAACTACTGAATGGATTTACCACAAGCAGTATATGTGCAAAAAGCAGGGCAGGCTGAAGTCATGTTGAAGCCTGATGCCTCCCAAAAACATTCTCCAACACTGTTGAGGAGGGTAGTGTTTGGAGGTGCAAGACAGGCAGTGTGGCCTGCTACTCTTTTTTAAACACCTTCCTGCCGCCTCCTAGCACTTGCTGCCAGAGGCAACTTCCCCCACTTTGCCTAATGATGGGACTAAAATGGTTTGAATGCTCCTGGCGGGAATGGGTGGGCAAGTAAAATGAATGGAACTTCATGCAAAGAATTGTTAGTTTTAATTCTAAATTAATTCTAAATAATTCTGAAGAGAGATTAAAACTGGAGTCTCCAAATTCGTTTCTTAACATTGCAACACAGCATAAAGGGCATTGTGAAAGTGTAAATAAATGCATCCACTCATACTTTTCTTTTCCTGCCCTCTCAATCCTGACGGGAAGGTTCATCAATGCCCGGAGACGTATTCTGCAACCCATGCTTGATGCCAGCAATCCGGATCCTGCCCCCAAAGCCAAGAAGATTAAGTCCCAGCACCGGCCTACGCAGAGATTCTGGCCAAACTCCATTGCAGCTGGCGTGCTGCAGCAGCAAGGGGCCAACCATGGCACCAATCCTGATGGTAAGAGAATTGGCGCATGGGTGGAGCAAGTAGTCAGTTCAACTGATGCCTTGAACTATGGGCAAGACACCTGAGCGACTGGCACCAAGTCCAGGGCTCCCCAGGTGGACGCACCTCTTCCTCATGACATCAATATGGAGTGGCCTCCAAGCTTTTTAAAGTTTTGTGTCCCATTCTAAGAGATGTCATTTGTAAGGCTTTACTACTGGCAAAATGAGCTTTAAGGTACAATATATGGTTATTTTTGTTCTTGCATACCACCAGAATGTGGCCCCAGCGATATATATCCCTAAAATGGAATGATGCCTTCAACCTGAAAGTGGTGCCCCACTCTAGAGGTAGTGCAGGCTCCTGGTTTTGTCAAGAGGAGTGGGCAGGCTCCAGAGGTGGGCTGGCCATGTGCACCACAGCCACTGGGGCCACATTTTCAGTTTTGATGCACCACTAAATGTGCCACATTTTCAGTGGAGTGTTGCAAAATATTGGCATATGTACAATTTGATCTTAAAGTTGGATGCATAGGGAATTTTGATGGTGCAGAAATAAATGTGTCAGGGAGATGTCAAAACCGCTGGACACATACATATGGCCTACATCTATATTGCCCATTTCTGCTTTGCCTTTCCACTCTTTCCAGATCTGAGCAATGAAGACCCTTAAATATGTGTTTGTTTCTTTGCACAAATTCTTTCTTCCAGCTGTTCAGATATTGTTAGAATTCTGGATTTGTTTTTGAAGCAAAACAGAACTCTTTGCCATTGATTCAGGTCAGATGAAAAGGCACCTAGAGCTGGCCTTTTCCCAGTCGGTCGCTTCATCCCTTCCTTTGCCTTCTCCAATCCGTGCCTATACGTCCTGGTTTGTATCAGACTGTTAGCTAGCTCAGCTATTTAGGTCTCTGGCTGCAGAGCCAAAGGTTAGGAGTTCAATTCCTCACGGTGCCTCCTTGACACAAGTAGACTTGGTGATCCAGTGGGTCCCTTCCAGCTCTGCAGAAAATACGTTTGAAATAGATTGACGGATGGAAAGTGGAGACAAGAGAAGAAGAATGTAACATTTTAAGAACAATTTTATTCCAGGGTGAGCTTTTGTGGGTAAAAGTCCACTTTCTCAGACACTGGAATGCACATGTGTGATTTCTATATTTATACATATCCCCATTAGGAAGAGAACTTTGATCCATAAAAGTTCACTGTGAAATAAAATTATTAAAGTGGTATATATATATTTTGCTTGCTTGCTTGCTTGCTTGCTTGCTTGCTTGCTTGCTTGCTTGCTTGCTTGCTTGCTTGCTTGCTTGCTTGCTTGCTTGCTTGCTTGCTTGCTTGCTTGCTTGCTTGCTTGCTTGCTTGCTTGCTTGCTTGCTTGCTTCCTTCCTTCCTTCCTTCCTTCCTTCCTTACAGGGACCCTTAGTTAGCTCCCAGTTATAAGGGTATCCATCTACATAGAGCTCCCTCCATGGAGTAGGCCTGCATTTGGAAATAGCCTCTTGCAATGCCGTATCTGCTTTGGAGGGCCAGGAGACATTCTAGAATAGTCTCCAGGAGATGCGGAGTATTGACAAAAACTTCCCATGCTTCTGTCAAAAGTCAGTAGTTGCAGGACTTGTCCTCACTGTTTGTTTTCTTACTGTGGGATCCTTGGTAAGCCTCCAAAAATGACAACAGTATTGAAAACAGGGTTTTGGAAATTTTCTGGACTAATGAATTGCCCTTGAGGTGATGACTTTGGGCTTAAGCCGAATTTAGATCTCAATGGGAGGCTGTGTGCTTATTTAATTAAGGACGCATGTGTGGGACCCTCCTCTGCCCCCAACCTTATCCTCACAACAATCCTGTTTACTGCTGTTTATCTTTTACCAGACGGAAGGCCTCTTAGCACAATGTTACAACAGCTGTTCGTTCTTCCTTCTAGGCTCCATAAATATGGACAACCTCCAATCCCTCTCCTCTGATAATGCCACCATTGCTATGCAGCAAGCCATGATGGCCGCTCATGATGACTCACTGGATGGGACAGAAGAGGAGGAGGAGGATGAAATGGAAGAGGAGGAGGAAGAAGAAGAGGAAGAGGAGGAAGAGGAGCTGGAGGAAGATGCTGAGGAGCTCCAGACAACAAATGTTAGTGACCTTGGCTTGGAGCACAGTGACTCACTTGAGTAAAAGAACTTGGGTCCATGCTGGAGAGGTAGCCTCCCAAGAAACTGTTTGACCTGCTTGCATAAATCATTGGCCTGAGAAAATGTAGTGAAAGCCTGAACTTTAACATACAAGCCGTGCATCTCTTTTAAAAGATATAATTAATTCAACAACAGTACCTGTTCTCAAGCGTCCTGCTTACTTGCTCTCGGTTGCAGGAACAGGCACGGATGCCTATTTCAGAGACTCTGTGAAATGTGCAAACAGATTATTTAAGTGAAGGACACACATTTACAAGGCACATATTGTGGCCAGTTCTTCCTCTGCCCCAAATCAATCCCTTTTGTTTTTGATAATGACAACAAAAGTGTTTTTAGGGTAAGCTGTTTTCTGTATGACTGAATGTTTTATGGATGTTCTAATGCAACGCCTTTTTGTGACATGCAATTGAGAGGCAAGTCTGTTTTCACTGCTTTTATGAAAGATTTATAGATACAAAAAGAGAGAGAAAAGATTGATGGTTTTTACAGCAAAAAGATACTAAAACGACTGTAATGATTATAAATACCTAGATGTAGAAAAATCAAGAGTTTGCAAATTGGGGAGGGAGGAATAACATATGAACACTGAGAAAATTTAATACCGGAAAAACATTGACTCCTAGATGGTTTTAAAAATTGGATTCCAGATCTTCAGGACTTCTTGGAATCGAAGATGTACAGAGAAGGCCTGTGCTTTTGTGGTCAATTGGTAAAATACAAACTGCACTGCAAACATTTTGGGAAGGAAGCTAAAAAGCTGTAGTCTTTTGAAGGGGGTGTCATACTAGCAACAGTTCTGGTTTGATTCCCTATTTCAGAGAATAGATGTCAGCTACCCCAGAAAGAATGCCCCTAAATAATTATGTTAATTGTTTAGAGGATCACAAACGGAGAAGCAAATGTCAAATTTTTATGTATTGGTTGAAGCAGGCCTAGATTTCCAAATGTTTGCAAGCTTACAGGCAAGGGGGAAAATCCTTCTTGGCTTAGAGACAATACACAGTAAAGAGGGAAAAATATTCTAGAGCTTGGTGGAATGATCACGGCCCATTCCACCGTCTCCTTCCCTTGAAACTCCTCACCAGTCTCTCTTTATCTCATATTGCTCTGCCACCCCTGAGCATCCACACATTTGACTGGATGTGTTTTATACATTCAGGGTTGGGATCAAATCCAAAACAGGATTCCTCTGCCCACTCCCTCCATTACACCTTATAACACAACACACCCCAATACGGAGGTCACTTTAAATCATTCCATGACAGTCCTTGTCACTATATAATGAACCAATTTTACCCACTAGCTCTGTGGGGTGGTTTTGTGGCATTTTCCATCCTGCTGTGGTTACCTTTTTCTAAACTTATTTGTAGCACCGCTGTATGGGGGAAGGACGGCCCAGTCTGTGGAGGGAACTGCTGAACACAATGAGCTTACCCGGCAGTGACATTTTTAAGCTGCTTCCATGTGTCAGCCACAATGTGAACATTGGCCTTAAAAATGCTTTTGTGTGTGTGTGTCTAAAGTTATTTCCCCCACTTCATATTCAAGAACATGTCCAACATAATCCTCGGAACAGAGAGTTTTAATTCCTATTGAGGTTCCCAGAATGTAGATCTGGAGGATCTCCTCTGTGGCTGTAAACGTACACAGATCAATCAAAACCTAAGCAGAACCCATGCATGTGGAAAGAGACTCCTCTTTTCCTATGTCACCTCAATGAGCAGGTGTATTTTTAAGACCAAGTGAGTTTGGTGCATAAGGCTAATCTCTATGAAGGTGCTATTACAGAAACATCAGCAGCATTTTCTTCCTGAGGACCATGGCTACACCTCCCACCACCAACCCCAAAACATTGTGCTTCTGGCCCTTCTGCAAGCACATCAGTGTGAACATTTCATAGACAAGAGTTGTTTGTGTTGATTGTGCTAATATGAGGAAGTCTCAACAACAACGGATACTCCTTTTCCATTTATATGGCCATGGAGACTTTGCTTCTTAATAGTAAACATGCAGTAGTTCCACGGGGTTTCTGCAGACTAGCATGGAGCTCATTTTTGTCCATTATACCCTACTGTCATGAGGTGGAAGGACACAGAGGAGAAAGGTTGGCTGTTTTCTCCAGATACCTGCACTTGGTGTACATCTAACACACACCCAGTATCCTTTCATCTTTGCTGTGTAGGCACAGCACAGTCCTAACTGTATTTACCCAGATATAAGCCCCTGTGAGAGTTGCTCCTTGATAAAGTCTCTACCTTGGTAATGGATTGTGTCGCTTTTATGCAGCCCAGATGAAAAATTAATTGTGATTAATGTGACCATTTTGTGCCACTGGCAGTAATGCAAGAAATGTCTGTTAGAAATAACTATTAAAACCAAAACCAAAATCACTTTGTGCTGCCCCTGACCACTCAGGTGAGCAACGCAGTCCCTTGCCCCAATTTTGGAGACAGAGGAACTGCCAGAAACCCATCCTGCTTCTCCACCACCACCACCACCACAATAACCATGCTGCTCTCCTGGAAGCTAGCGGGAACTATCATTCTCTTCTAAAACAACCCCTTTACACCCAGCCCCTTGTGAAAGTAAAGAAATAAGGGGCATGGACTTATATTCCTCATTTTTTCCTGACCCAGTTTCATTTTTGGAGGCTGGTGCAGTAAAGAGTAGGTCAAAGGCCCCGAACCCACCTCAGTTGCTCACCCCTGGTATACACAGCTGGCCTTGGGGCCTGTGTTCCAGCCAAGTCTTGGGGGGTCTTTGGCCAGGAAGCTTTCCGAGAACTCACTCCCCGAGGGTATCTCCCTGTTCATTGTTGGCACAACTGCCCTCTGCTTGCATGCTTTTCTTCTTCCCTCTCTGCCCAATCTACACTGTCTCTTATGCATTGGCCCTCTTGGTCCTTTGGTTGTTCTTACGAGAATAAGTGGACCACCAGCAGCAAGACGGAGGATATTTCTAAGGAGGAAAAAATAGCCAAGCCCAGGAATTGACTGTGGGCCTCTCACTGGGGTGAGATCTTCAGCACTTACCCAGGGATGCTGTTTGTGCCTCTTCTCCCTCTGTTCCACAGGTTTCAGATAAGCTGTTCCCTCGATGCTGTTTGCGACTTTCGTGCCTCTTCTCCCTCAGTTCCACAGGTTTCAGATAAGCTGTTCCCTCACCAGTAGTTTGGAGGCTAATCACCACACGTTCTCCATGTGCTTCAAACGGCCAGCTGTGTCACGACGCAACGAAAAGGCCATCTGGAGCCATTCTGGGCCTCTCAAGCCCACCCTAAGTTGGAAGTGACTTGCAGCACATAAGAACAAGCTGTGGATCAAACAAAAGAGTCTCCACCATCCTCTGGATTACTTCGCTCACTCTTTCATCCTCCACCCAATACAACAGGATCAAGACAGCGAACACCTTAAATTGTTACTAATTTTGCTTTGTACATTGTGCTCAGGAAAATATTTACAGTGTACAAAACAAAATTTTATCATCCTGTTTTATCACCTTTTTTGTGCGAACAGTTGCAGTCTTCTTGATTAGCAGGTTGTCAGTTTTCCCTGACATGAATGTATTTCTCGCAGAAACATCTGATGTTTAATGTTTCAGCACAGTTGTGAGACTTCAGTAATCTTATTTATAATCTGTGTTATCCAATCAGCTCGGATTCTTCTGTTTCCTTTTAGGGGCACAGTTACAAGGAAACTCACATTTCCAAAGTGAAATGGGGCAAAATAGTTTTCCCCCTCTTTTGGGTCTGTCTTCCTTGCCAGTGAAAACAAAAAAAACCCCAGTCCTGCCTGCCCCCTTGCAAACGGTTTACATGCTTTCCTCGGTGCATCAGCCAAACGAATCCTGAACTTCCAAGACAAACGTTTTGCCCACTGTGATGTTTTATTACACATTAAAACTTTATTTGCCTCAAATGATTCCTTTCTCCTCACACACAAAGCACAGTTACCAGTTCTGTCCTTCTTTTGCCTCTTTGAGGAGTTGAGAGTTTTAGTCAATCGTTTTACATTAAGGATTAAATCAACAATAATTCCTTCGGAATGTATTGGAATATCAGTGGGCATTTAAAGAAAAAAAGGCCCCAGTTTGGATACTGATATGGCATGAATGTAATATGTAATTTCATAGAAAATTCATTGTAATTTAGTATTAATTCATGTCCATTTATTATAAAGTGCTACCAGATGAGTTTTTCCAGCTCTATTTTATTGTGTTTATTTATATATTCTTGATATTAAGAAGGTATGGTAGTAAAAAATAAACACAAACCCGAATCCACTGAAGGGAATTACAACGGTGCAAGATACCAAAAGAAGTTCGACTTCCATTTTCAAAGGTCATTTATTACAATGGATGTGTTTTGGGCATTATGAAAAAGCCGTAGTTTATGGTGGCAGTGCAATCTGGTGGGCTCATTCCCCTTTCCTTCTGCATTATAGCCACAAAAAAGAATTCAGAAGCTTTCATTTACCATTTTGATTAACAACAACTTGTGTCATCCAAACTCAGTTAATATTAGTTATTCTTCATCTGAAGTAAGTCAACTTAGAACTTTTTTTGAAAGGAACTTTTTGGAATATTCATTTTTTATGTGAGCCATACAAACATTATTATTATACAGTGGTGCCGCTTTACGATTGCCCCGCATTATGACGAAACTGCATTAAGACGATCTTTTTGCGATCACAATTTCGATCGCAAAACGATTGTCTAAGTGGCTTTTTTTGGCTTTGCGTTGATCAGTTCCCTGCTTCGGGAACCGATTCTTCGCAAAACGACAAATTTCCAACAGCTGATCGGTGGTTTCAAAATGGCAACCGGGTAAATAAAATGGCTCCCCACTGTGTTTAGGGATGGATTCCTCGCAAGACAGCCACTGAAAATGGCCGCCCTATAGAGGGTCTTCGCTCGACGGTGAGTTTCTAGCCCATTGGAATGCGTTGAAGGGGTTTCAATGTGTTTCAATTGGCTTTTTCTTTTCGCATTATGACGTTTTTGTTCTATAGTGATTTCGCTGGAATGAATTAACGTTGTAATGCAAGGCACCACTGTAGTTATTATTGCTCAGTCACAAAAAATCATGTTTCATTGCACATTATTAATTCATTGAGTGAAATCCTATTGCTTTGTTATGCAGGCAAAAGGCAAAAAGCATAACATTAATTCATTTCCAGATGGCAATTGAGTAGTCACTGCTTCAGTTCAGAGAGTACCCATGTGAATTTTACACTGTTTGTCTTCCCACTAGATTTCAGCCATTGTATCTTCTTACCAGCACACCAGAAAAATACAAGGAAGTGCTCTGGTTCTTTCTGTTGACCAGTTCTGATATTGTGCTTTGAAAATACAGAAATATAAAAATAGTAAACAGTTGGCACTGAGAAAAGAATGGCATAAAATTTTAAAAAGTTCAAATATCTCTAAATTTGCAACATGCCCTTTAAAAGTAAATTTGAAAATAAATTAGAAAAGATGTTATGAAGGTAAGTATAAGACTATCCACTTAGTTACTTTTGAAATGTAACATAATGCCACCCTCATTAACCAAAAAAAGGAATTAATTAGAGGTAAATTAATATCCAGTTAGTAGTTATTCTTAGCTTCTGCTTGAGACTATGGGTTAACAAACCCTAGTTACAATTAACCAGAGTTTAAGATTCCTATTAAATTACATTAATCAATATAGAAGTGAAACCATCCAATTAGGGGGAGGAGGGGGGAGCATATGAGCCATCATATACTGTATTTTCCCATTGATAAGACGCTAAAATCATTACCCTAAAAACTGAGGGGCATCTTTTACATGGAAGCAAGCTGAGATAGCTGAGGAGAGAACAAAACGGCACATACCTTTCCTCTGTAAACAGGCTTCCTTCAGCCACGAGGCTTAGTTTCCTACAGTCAGCGGACTTAGCTTCTTCCAATTACAAGCCTTATGGAACTGAAGTCAGCTGATCCTGAACAAACCAATTGGAACACAGCTCCTTAGAGGCGGAGCCTGTAGGCTCAAGATCCAACAGACAAAATGTCCGACATTCAGAGCCCAGGGGCTGAATCCTCAAGTTTTCTTAATTTTTGGGTCAGAAAATTGGGGAGGTGTCTTATAAATGAGGGTGTGTTATAAATGGAAAAATACGGTATGTAGCTAGTTGCAAAGTTCAAACACAGCTAGTCTGTCATAATGTGATGCATTAGGTACTCAGGAATAAGACACTGAAGATGGCTTATAACCATTTTTAAAACACACAACAGAATTGCAGTCATAAAATGCATTTATTGAGAGAGTGCTGAGAAAATAAAACCATAATAGAAGAATTCGATTGAGAATAATTCAAATGAGGCACATGTTTCATTTAAGAGAAATGTTTTCAGTGTTTGATGGAACAGGCAGAGAGAGGACATGGTTGTAGTCCCTCTGTGCCAAAATATTTTGAATACAGAACTGACCAGAAAAAAATATTGCTGGGAAAAGGGGGAAAATAAGGGAAAACCTAACATGAGACAGATTATCTCAATAAAGGAAGCCACAGCTGTTAGTTTGCAAGGCCTGAGCAGAACCTACTGGAAAAGATGATATTGCTGGAAGGGCAGGGCAGTAGGAAGAGAGGACAACTTAACATGAAAGCTGTCAGTTATAGGACATTTAGGAGGTCATTAACTCATTTGTCAGAAGTGTCTTGATGGTACATAATATCTTTAGAAACTTTTTTTCAATTGAAAATATCTTTACAACCAGACACAATCCCTTTGGAAGTATGTACAAATCCCTGTTTGGTTATGAAGGAGTTAAAAATTTAATTGGGTCCTGGTTGACAGGTCCAAAAGTTCAGTCTGCCCAAATTCAGAGCTTATTTTCCCCTTTGAAAACTTTGTCTGGAGCCTGATCTCAAAAATTCCAAGAGAATGTTTACTGAAAACACTCAGGGCTGGGACAAACACTGTTGACAAGCTTTGTGCTTTTTGTAATGCAGAAATACTGTCAATAAGCCTTACAAAACTCCCTAGAGATAAATGGAAAAATGTCCATCTTTCTGGAAGACTCACTCCATTACGTCTTTCAAAGCAAGCTTGGTTGTTGTTTTTTAAAAACTCTCTTTTTACTCTGTCTCTGTGACAGAGCTCTAAGATCCCCAAATATCCCTTCTCTGCCCACAATGCTGGGACAATGTATCTACTTTGCAAAACTTGCTGGTGAGCTAGTTCCACCCATCTCAGCATGATTATTTTTTTAAAAAATCACTTTCTCTCTTTTGAAAAGCCTTTTTTGAGGACCAGTATTTCAGCCCCTGCAGCCCGGATTCTTTCTGAATAAAAATGTGGGTAGGGCAAGATTGGTCTTTTCAATTTAGATGACTGTGGGGACATTTAGGGTTGCCTATTTTTGAACAGGAGCAAAATAATACCATGTGACAATAGAGAAGAAGGTGGACAGTCATTGTTATTGTTATTAAACAAGTATTCTGTTAGTTAGAAGCCACAGGCCATTGAAAGTCCCCATGTCTACTGCAAGTTGTTTTCAGGCATAAGATTGAGTTTCCTAACTGCAACGTCGCTTCATGCAGCATTCAGTTGTGGGATGTCTTTGCTCAATGCAGAGGAGATATTGGAAATTTTTTAAGCTGTTAAAATGTGGTTAGATGCAGTTCCAGTAGCAAGAGCCAAAAGGTAGGTCTATTCATTGTTCTAAAGTAACACATTTTGTTACTGTTGTTAATGTTAAAATAAGATCAGAATACTATACGCTGGGCTGTTAAAGTGAGATACAAGACGCAAGCAGTAGGGCAAGATAGACAAGCAGGTTTGGGGGCTAACTTTCTGGCCATGGAATCCTTGGGGAGGGAGGGGTGAACAGCCAAAAATGCCTCAAAATAGAAAAAGTGGAAATTCATGGGGTGAGATATTTCAGTTATGCAAAATGGGTATTTGGTAGCTAAATGATGCAATGAACCCCTATGAACACTTTAAGGGGTGATGGACTCATCCTGAGTGTTTCCAGGAGTTGAAACCTACCTTATTGCATAAAAGGAGGGCCTGAGGAG